TCTATTACAATTCCATTGACTCCATTCCCACTCTCTACTCCACGTCCCGTGACTATATGTATATATAATTATAGTTGACATACATTATTATTCAACATCAGTTCAGAAATAGTGCGGTGGTCAGGCCTCTACACCGACTATGAAGTGGTCTCCCTAGCAAGACATGAGTCCATCTGGTCCCCTAAAAAATATTTATAATATTATTGATTATATTCCCCAGACTGTCTTGTCAGTCATAATATTTTTCAAGTACATAAACAGAACTAAAGCTAGTAGCTCCCGGCACTACTGAATGGGGCACACATACTGCCTTTTTTAATCTTCATAATGTTCTGTGAGATAGCTGTTATTATCAAACTTTACAGACGAGGAAACAGCCTTTGACTCGCCTTACATCCACACCTGTTTCAATCAGTCACTTCATGAAAGTCGCAAAGCTAGATATGGTAGAGACAGGGTGTGTACCAGGCCTAGCCGACTCTAGAAACCACTCTGATATTCCACACCTTGCTGCTTCTCTGAAAACAGGTCATTAGAAAAATGCTGGTGGATTTCTGACTTCCCTGTTTTAAATTTTATTTACATGTTTAAATTACTTTTCATCTGTATTACATTATAAAAGTATGATTACTGAAGACAAGCAATACACATATATGTGCAGCACTTTGCACTTCTATGGGAAAAAAAAAGCCACTAAGCTTATCATTTTTATCATTAATTAAAACCAGTTTTACATGAAGTACCTGTCAAATTTCCCTGGGTCTGCCTGGTTAGTCAAGTTCCTGGAAGCTCCGATGCATGATAGTCCAGGACCCTGTCCACCTCCCTTTTACAAAGCAGGCTCTGTCGGTCTGTGCCAGCCAGCCATCCTCACGGCCTGGCCTTAGCTACTAGAACACACTGCCTCTTGCCGAAAGTAGTACTGTGTCACAGACCCTGGCCAGGAATTTCCCCAGGTCTTCTAGGACCCCTCCAACCAAAACTGTCACATGCATCACTGGCACACGCATTATGGGTCACCACTTTCTAAGCAGCCTTGGAATTGCACTCTGAGCCAAAGAGATCACTTTAGAGATGTGATCCTTTGAGTTGCCAACTTCCAGCTTCCACGGCCCTGAATACTGGTCCGTTCCTTGCTCTACTCAGCTAATCCTAATTGGTATATCTGTATCTGTTAATTTATGGCATGTGATAGTAAATGGCAGTCAAAACTTATGAGGATATAAGGAGGACTTAAAAGCAGGGGATTCCAATTAGGTAAAAACAAATTGTGTTATGTTAAAAGTTTCAGTATATTTGGTAATAGCCTATGCAAAGTAAAATAGCTACTGTTATAAACTTTCAATGTTATAAAATAAACTCTATCTACCAGGGATAATTTGGTCCTACTGTATTTACTTTGAGGCCAAATTTATTAGTTAAATTATTGCCTAATTGCTCAGCAATTGATCTGATCTATAAAATGTTACTCAAATTTTTTCTTTAGTGTTTCTGATGCAAGGCCTTTAGGAAAACATATAGTAGCAATTATGTCTACAGATTACACATATATAAATAAAAACACATATCTAGAACCTTTTTCTGAATCTTGATTGCTAAATAAGTCAATTGTCGTCTTTTGCATAAGAAGCCACTTAGAATGTTCTTATGTAGTAAGTAAAGTGGGGAAGGAGGAAGATTAATGTGTAACTTGTTGGGTTCTCCTCTGCGATATCCAGATTAGGTCCTGTGCTGAAAGAGAAACTGAGAAAAAAGATGATATTCCAGAAGAAGACAAAGGAAATGTTAAACAGTGTGAAATCAATTACGTGTACGTATTCTTTTCCTTTTAGACCTAGACCTACAGATTTGACCATGAAGTGCTTCTCAAAGTGCCTAAAATAAAATACCTGAAGAATGGGACGAGGCAGCATAATGTAGACACTAGGACAAAGCACTGAGCTAAATGCCTTCAGTTTTCCTATTAACCTGCCAGCTTCCAAAGCTAGTCACTTGGGTTAGTCTATTCTCCCTATTAATAGAAGGGCTGTAGCTTGTTGGTACCTCATGCCAACCAAATAGTGTTCCATGGCCAGGACACAGGACTCCAGCCAACATTCCCTGGTGAAAGTGAGGCGTGGTTTCTTTGGGGTGGAAGATACAGCAATGAATCTTGAATATACGCAGAATTTTACCTGTGGGAAGGAGAGAAAATTAAGAAAACTAACAAATCTAGTATTTGAACATGACTCAGCTTTTGTGACATTTTATATATCTCATTGACATACATTTAAAAGACAAGATGTCCAAAAAGTTTAATTAGAATATTTCCTGTTTTACTTGAATAATTTAATCAATTATTTATCCTGTGCTATGTTTATTATGCTGCCCACTATTAAATATTTCTATTTCTTAAAAAAAAAAAAGTGAGGCTTTGTACAGCTGTACGTTTTTAAAGAAATACACTTCAGATTTTTTTTAAAATAAAAAACGTTTTAAAATTTTTAAGGTCATTTAGTAAACATGTATAAACAAATTTTGAGATATTTTTAAGAAGACATTTTCTTAACAGAAAGAAATTTCAGAGCTTCCAAGACCACAAACTTAAAATAAGTAAAGAAGACAATAAAATTCTTAAAAAGGCCCGGAAAGATGGATTTTTGCATGAAACACTTCTGGACAGGTAGGTATATTTTGACTTATCTCCAGCTGTGGTCAGTAGCTAATAGAAATGGCATAAATTTCTAATGTTCTTTTTGGATTACTATAGTTTTCAAATTCTGGTCTTTATTTCTAATTTAAAAATGTAGTAATATTACTTAAAAAGCACATCATATGTCTGGTAAAAATCACCAAGAAAAAATATCTAAAAATAGCCAGATTCCAAGTACTTATATATTTTGTTGTAAGAAATTCAGGTTTAACTGAAACTACTTCATAAATTTATTTACCATCATCTTTTTATACGCGTTAGAACAAATCTAGAAAGAAGTAGTTTGCTTAATTTCAAAATGCATTAGGTTCTATTCATTAGGTTCTATAAAATTAGGTTAAAATAGTTTAAAAATTAACAAGTATAAAGTGAAATAAATGAAATTGAAGTACTTTTATTAAGATGAATTCAGAAGTGTGAAGGGTATTTATCATAATACATTATTAATATTTATCACTTTTCCTATTTAGGTAAGTAATGTCTTAGATTTATAACATAAAAAAATAGGTAGAGGTTTAGCTGTGAGTTTACAACTGTAAATCAAATAAGTGCCAGACTGAAAAAGAATTTGGTAGTCTCTGGCCACTTACTCAAGTGCTGTGTTGCAAAATTAGTCCTTTAAAACATTTCTTTACATTACTTGATAAAGACAATGCTTTATCATATATTTCCTGTTAACTAGTTGATCGAGTTGTTACCTGACATCAGTAAATAATGTGAGAAGTTTTTCCACTTTAGCAAATTAGCATGTAGTATCTCATTCTAAGAAATCAAGAAGATATAAAAGTAGTTAGGTTATGGACTCAAAAGAAATAGAATGAAATCCGTGTCCTGTATCTTTTATCACTTATGAAAATACAACATTGCCACCCTGTTAAATAGAAGTTTAGGGCATGCTAAAATTCAGAGGTAATTAAAATTGCTATTGTGGATTGAAAAATATCGCTTAGGCATTTGTTATGATTAGGAAAAGACTTTCTTAAGAATAGAATCCATTTAGTATGAAACATAGAATTGAAAAGGAAAATTTTAATTAAAATATTTTACTATAAATGTTATAGTAATAAAATAACCAAAATTGAGAACAGTTCCTAATCATGAGTTTATATTTAGTAGCAATTGACTATATTTGGCACGTTTTACATAGACTAATTTTTATCATTTGTCTTTGTTTAAACAGGAGAGCCAAATTGAAAGCAGATAGATACTGCAAATGACCAGGCTTTTTGTTTGTCTTCTCTTTTTGTTGTTTTTGTTTGTTTGTTTTGTTTTTTCCTGAATAAAAATCAGTGAAAATGTTTTTGCAGAGTTCTTGGGCTGTTCAGGAATTATTGCTAAACTATTGTAGTGGCTAGTTTAACCAAGATTAATCAAGAGATTCTCCATGGATATACTTTTTAGTTAACTGCAGTGCTTCACATGAAAATGAAACTTAGAATACACACTTAAAGTGCCACAGAGTTGGGTTTTGTTTTGTTTTTTTTTCTCCTGGGTTTCCTGTCATAAAGCATGAGGTGCTAATCTATGAAACTGGTATTTCTTGTGCAGCTTGTAGAATCTGTCTTACTGCTTTACAGTTTTACTACTTTACTTGATACAATAGATGCTTAGTCAGTACCTTTAAAAAGAAGTTAGAAACTCCCAATCCAATCAGTCAGCAAGGCTTGGATTCTGCCTGTTAAATATTACCCAAATCACACACAAGCCAAACAATTATCAGAACAAGGGCACTAGGCAGAGAGAAAGAAATCAGGCATTAACTAGGCAGTGGAATGGGAACAGGAAACATTACACAAGAGCAAGTAGGCTCAGAACAGAGGAGAAGAGTAAAACTGGGGAAGTCTCCTTAGGACAGTTTACCCACAACGGATATGTACCTAATGTTTTCAGCCTCGCCTGTGGGATGGGGTAAGAGCTACGAAAGAGGTTCAGACAATAAGTATTGCTGAGATCTGCCATGCTGAGCCAACTTTATTTCCTGTCTCTTTATGAGTTCTGAACATGGTGTTTCAGATGTTATCTAACCCTGTGAGTGTTTCAGAATCCAGGTTGTATATAAGATGCCTGGATTTCACTGGAAATTCCACTTCAGAAGGTCTTAGGTTAGCTGAAGCCTCTATGTTTTTTCAATTCCACGTTGATTCCAGCGCACAGCTGGGATGGAGACCTGGCCTAAGCTGCCAGACCCTGTCTAGCTCTCGGCCTTTATATTTTATCTGTCACCAACTCTAGAGTTAACATGGCCCCTCCACAGCAAGGTAGCTAAGCTACCAGTATTAGCCTTAGAAAAGAGCTCCTGCTCTATATCTAACCCTAACTCGGAACTCCAGTTTCAATAGCTGGATTCCTCCATGTGTGTTCTGCTTTTTCTGATCCTTAGATTGGGAACATGCTTACTCTGATCCACCAAAGCAGTGGTTCGCAACCAGGTGCTAATTTGCCTCCCAGGGGACATTGCACAATGTCCAGACATTTTTGGTTGTCACAGCTGGGGGAGGAGGTGCTACTAGCATCTAGAGCAGCGGTTCTCAACCTGTGGGTCGTGACCCCTTTGGGGGTCGAACGACCCTTTCACAGGGGTTGCCTAAGACCGTCGGAAAACAAAAAGATATTTACATTACGATTCATAACAGTAGCAAAATTACAGTTATAGAGTAGCAATGAAAATAATTTTATGGTTGGGGGTCACTACAACATGAGGAACTGTATTAAGGGGTCGCGCGCGGCATTAGGAAGGTTGAGAACCGCTGATCTAGAGGGTTAGAGAGTAGGGATGCTGCTAAATATCCTACTATGCACAGGACAGCAGCTCCCCGCAACAAAGAGTTATCCAGCCCAAAATGCCAATAGTGCCAATGTTGTGAAACCTGCCCTAGAACTTAACTTAGTCTTAGTGTTTGCTTTTGCAAACACTACCCCTAAACCCCTCAACCCCTAAAACTAAACAGTAGTTCAAATGTATGTATATATAAGAATTGCTTAGGGTACCTGCAGATTTCTAAGACCCATCTTTAGAGATGTAGGCTCCGCGAGTCTAGGATTGAGCCCCAAAATGGACATTTTAACAAGCACTCCAGATATGTCTGAAGCAAGGGATCTGAACCACACTTTGAGCAACACTATCCTCAAGAGATGGAAGCTTGGTACCTGAGACCATCTGCCACTGACCCATTTCCCTGAACAAACAGTCTTTCGGCCTGAACTTCTGACCATCATGCAGTCCTGGATTCTTGTCACCGTGCTCATTGGTGTTCCTCCAGTTCCTGCCCCCACTCCCAGAGAGCAGAACTAAGTACAGAACTAACTCCTGCCAACTAGGAAGATAACATTTAAAATGTGCACTGCCTGCCCTCATGGAGTTCATACTCCAGTAAAGGAGGACAGCAAATGAATAAAAAGTTCACAAATGACAGATAAGTGTTCCTTCCCTGTGTCTATCATTGCACTTCATACAAAACCCTGTTACGGCACTGAAGTCAGTCTGAGAGAGTGGCAGAGATCTAGACCAAATGCATCTAAAAATTGTCATGTGGTCCATATTGTTTCATCTTACACATGAGGATATCATGAGAAATTTTATTTAAAGCGCTATGGAAATCTGGCCAAGCATTTCCCTGAAATACCAGTCAAGTCACCTTATCTAAAACAAGGTTATATAAAGAAAGACAAATATAGTATGATTTCACTTATGTAGTATCTAAAAAACAAACACTCATAGATAACAGAAAACAAACCAGTGGTTGCCAGAGGGAAGGAGGAGGAGGGCAGATGAAATAGGTGGGAAGTATTAAGAGGCACAAACTCCCAGGTATAGATAAGTCACAGGGATGTAACGTACAGCACAGAGATTACAGCCGGTAACACTGTAATAGCCGTATGGTGATAGATGGTAACTAGACTTAAGGTGATCATTCTGTAATGTGTGAAAATATCAAATCACTATGTTGTACACCTGAAACACATATTGAATGTCAACTATATAAATCAATATTTTTTAAAGGTGATATACAATAAAAGCACTAACCAAAGAAAAAAACCCACACCCAGTTTTGACTGCTCACATTTTCCAGATTACATAATTTCAGGTTTTCTATTTTCAAGTTTACTGACCTATGTTTACCATCTCCCAACTGCTGTTAAACCCATCTGGTGAGTTTTTAATTTCAGATACTGTTTTTCACTTCTAGAATCCATTTAATCCTATTATTGTTGTTATAGTTTCCTCTGTTGAAACTTCCTACCCATTCATTAACAGGGTTTGGGCGGGGGGGGAAGGGAGGGGATTGTTTTTGTTTGGGGCAAAGTTCTAAGGGCTGCCTTAAAATCCTTGTCCACTAATTTCAACATCTGGTCATCAGGGAGTCGGTCTCCATTGATTATGTTTTCTTTTGAGCATGTTTCTTCATATGTCTAAATAATTAGATTGTATTCTGGACATTGTAGAAACTGGATTCTGTTTTGTTCCTCTGAATTTGTTTGTTTGTTTGTTTGTTTGTTTGTACAATAGGCAGTTAACTTGGTTGAACTTGACCTGCAGATTCTCTTCCCTTACAGTGGCAACAGCTGAAATCTATTCAGTTTTTTGTTCCAGCTGGGCTGCTTGAAGTCTTCCCCAAGGATGTAGGGTTCAGAGACCATGAGCGATCTGGGCAGCATGGCTACCTTCTGGCTCTCTCCTTCCCAGGATTTCCTCCTCACTTCCCAAATTCTTTGGTCACTCTGAACTCTGTCCTCTGATTTCCTCAACTAGTAAAACTTCAGGTCTTTATATACCAGTATGCATTTTAATCACTCTTAGTGGCGCTGCCTGGGGCCTGTCTTAAGTTGAAAAGAGTTAAAAATACGATTCCCTTCTTACTAAAAGTTAACTCCCCTCAAGTTTCTGCATGCTTTTGGTCACTCTCCATTACCTTCAGGTAATTTTTACTATTTTGTCCATAGTTTAATTTTTTGTGTGTCAGAGGATGACTGTAGCACAAGCTACTCCACCATGACTTGCTCAAACTCTTAAGTTCCTCGCTGTCTCTTCCCCAAGTTAAAGACCTGCCTGGGCTTCCCTAGACACATACAGAATTCTCACATCCTACACAAGAAAGTTAATAAATCATTAAAATAAATGGAGACATCCATATATCTTAAAATAGGTCTGAATTTCTAAAGTGGACTCAGCAAACCAGATAACCCAGCACCCACCCACATACTATAGAGTTCCTGGGTCAGCCCTAGTGTAGACACTAATCAGTCCATGGCTTCAGCTCACTGCAGGAAATATTCAACTCAGTTATTCTAAACTCATGACACAGAAGACCGTATTAAAATATGCTAGCTTAGTATCATATCAACCAAGATATGGCATGGTAGTTTTCATAACTCGGATGAGAAATCAAAAATGACTTTATTTTCATGCTATTGGATTTTTATGGCATTGTCAGAATAACATTAGCCTGAGGGGGGTAATGCAGGTAAGTGCCATTAATATTTTTTTCTGGCTCCCACATATTGAAACCCGTTTCATTTAATGAAAAGATTAGAAACAAATAAAAAGGAATAATTCAATACCATTATTTCCCCTTTCCTTACCCACCTAATTGTTGATAATGTTTTTAAAAGTGGATATTTAATTAAGGGAACTTAATGGTGTTAAGGCTGGTTTTGCTTTTAAACATTTCCTGTGTATTATACTCCCGGAAAATCTGTGGCACTATTTAATTTTATGCCACTAGGATACTTGTCTTAAATACTACTGAGGTTTATTTTCTATGATGGAGAAACAATATATGCTCTTTCCATTTAACCTCGTGTTTCAACACTGCCTTTGTATTTCATAAAGAATATATTTTCAGTGTATTGCAAGAACTTACCAATTAAAATCTGCAAGTTTTTTTTGTTCAGTGTGTATTACAAATCTCAAAAGGTTTTGCAATCCTGTTCTGAGTGTTGCTGGTAGAGAACCAGGGGTGTAGCACTACTTGTTACTGTTTATTTTTCTACCATTCAGTTTCCTATTTCTGGTCCTCAGATACTAAGTGGAATGTACGGAAGAGAACAAAGAAAACAAAGCACAGCTCTTTATTCCTTTAGAAAGGTGGAAAGTTAAATATAAGTAAGACTCCAAAGTAAGGAATCAAGTCATAACTTCTAACCTTAGTTCCCTGTCACCTGGCAAATACATAGAAAATGTGTAGCCACAGCCAATCACATAGAAAGAAAAAAATGATAATAAAAAGCAATACTTTAAACGTCTGTCTTATGTATTCTTTTTCTTTATTAGCCCTTTTCATTAAGTATTAATCCCTATTTTCTTATCTTGCTGCTAAATATATTCCCCCAAGGCAGCATTTTCTTTCTTTTTTCTTTTTTATTGATACCAGAAAAATCAACAACAACAACAAAAGCAGGAATATACCTAGGTTTAGGAGAACTCAAAGTTAAGATACTATTTAGCCAACCACCAGC